TAAAAACTAACATTGTTATTTTTGCTTATAAACACTTGTTGCAAAATAAAATCCTTACATTTGCTTTGATAAAGTTTATCAGAGGATGAAAAGCATTGGCTAAGGTAAGTTTTCCGTGTGTGTGTGTATATATATATATATAAATAAAAAGTTAATTGGTAATCTGTATGGATAATTCTAGGGAGGATATATAAATCTTGAGAGCTCAATTTAATAACATCAATTGATAATTAACAAATCAGAGACTTCAGAAAGCCATGGTAATATTTTATTTTGCAAAATCGAGAATTTGATTCCACTTCATTAGACCTGGTGGTTTCAAAAAAGGGTCTGACAAAGTGGAATTGAATTCTTGATTTTGCAAAATAAAATATTACCATGGCTTTCTAAAGTCTCTGATTTGTTGATTATATATGTGTGAGTGTGTGTGTGTGTGTACTTGGATTTAGTAGAAACAGAATGAGTAATAACTGAGCAGTACTAAAAATAAGAACTAGACAAGATATCCCTAAACATGAGCTGTGAAACGAAACCAGTATACCCTCATAGATTTTGTAGGAGTTGGGATCAAATATGCATCAGAATCCAACAATGCTAAGATAAAAAAACAAATAGGAAATGTCTATCACTCTAATATGTTTCACTTTTATTAAAGCTTCATAAGAGAATGAGATATGGAGAAAAAGAAAGAAATTCTAGTATTTTTACTTTTGCGTTAATTTTCACTTGTTAATCATGTTTCATGTGCATCTGAATTGTTGAACAAACATTGTTATATTTTTTGGCATTCTAAATTCAAGAGGAGATGATGCATTCATTAGAATTTCCAAAAAATTAACAGATTCCAAGTTTACGCTTTTTCAGTTAGTCTTTGAATCCATTAATTTCCATTCAATTCTGAATGGACGTATCTTTTCTTCTTGGACTCACAACCACAAATCATATTAATGTTTGTTTAACAAGTCGGATGTACATGAAACATGATTAACCAATTAGTCAACAACTGACTGACACGAATGTTGACTAGCATGCTAGCATGCAAAAAAAAAAAAAAAAAAAAAAAAAAAATCGATAGCTGCATTCGTCACAAGTGGGGAAAAATTGAAATCTGCATGGCACTTTACTCCAATTGGCTCATTCGCTTGCTTAAACTCAACGTTGATTCTGATTCCGCAGAACTGGGTTGGGTGTGAAAAAGTATTTGTTGTTAACATTCTTTTTTTCATTCGGTTTTTCCAGTTCGAGTCCTTTTTTTTAAAGCTGATCGTTTTTGTGTTCATTTTGTTTAGTTCTTTTTTTCGTAACAGATTTAATGTTTAGTATAAAAAAAAAAAAATTTGCAGTGTGAGATAGGCAAGAAGTAAGGCATGTAACAACATCAGCACAGCAAAGGGCACTCCTTTAAAGGCAAGGAAGGGCAAAAATATTTTAAGACAAGTGATAGCGATTGCTGTATGAGTCGTACGATTTTTTAATCGAGCATGGGCAATGCTGCTAGTATGTATGTGTGTGTGTGTGTGTGTATATATATATATATATATATATATATATATATAAAATGCAAATGAGTAAGTAAGGTAAGGATAAAGGTAAATGATTTGAATGTTGTAAGTTTGTGAGGAGCTTAACTTTTGAGCAATGAATGTAAATGTTTTCTTAAAGTTCTTAAAAAAGAAAAAAAATAATCAATAATAGAGAAAGGACATAATGAATTTTACATGAGGAAACCATTGAAAGTTATTCTCCATCTTCCTCCTTAATTTATTCAATGATAATACACTTGGCTCTTTTTCCAAAACAACAAAATGTTCAGAAACATAATTTGTAGAAAGGAATAAAAACTTTCAACAAAATTTAAGTTTATCAAACAATGTCCAACTAATGAAAAAATAGATGGGACTTGATAGAAGGGGGGGAAAGAAAGGTACATTACATTTATTTACCTTATACTACAAATTTTTTTTAAAAGATGTCAAATAAGCTACCCTGCCAAAATTATTTTGAAATCATGAAATGCATTAAAAGACTAAATTCGTTATATAAATATATTTATAATATTATCTTGAATTTTTATTAGATGAAATATTGTGAAACATTAATATTTAACAAGTATTTCTTTCATCTTAATTTTAGTAATTTCTTACTGCAACTACCCAGACTGTCATTTGATGGCCGTTATAAACAGGATGGGTTTGAAATAAAGAATAAACTCTCAGTGAGACAAACTTGAATCCCTTTTAATATGGAAAACTTGTTTCTGTCTGATAAGTCACTCTTCAACTCTAATAGCAAAATATATTTGTTGCAGAATCTAATCCTATAAATACATTTCTTATCATCCATGAATGCTTGGCAATATTATATATTTAGTGGTGGAACATACACTAGTAGTATTAGTAGTGTATCTTAAACACTCATTTAAGCTATAGAGAAATCTTGAAATAAATTTTAGCCCTTGTACTGGACAATTATTTTCAAAGATTTGCATGAAACACAAAATAAATTCATATGGCACACATTATAACATCCAATTATCTTGGTTTTGGAAAAGAATTAAACATATCCTCATCTCTCTAGAACACCGATTTGTTCTTGGTGACAAAGAAGAAGAAAACAACAAAGAAGAAGAAAACAACAAAGAAGAAGAAAACAACAAAGAAGAAGAAAAAAAAATCGACAAAGAAAAAAAAATGCTAAGGTATTTTTTCAAGAAAAAGGAATATATATCCCAATTATCAACAATCTTAAATCTAAAATTGGGTTCTTAAGACAATATTTTGTGAAAACTAGTAGTTTTAAATAAATGTAGAAAGAAAATGAGTTTCTATAAACTAGAAGAATTTATGTAGACTTCAATTCATGATTAAGCTTTCAACAAACATGCATTATTGGATAAAAATTAAAAGGTCTGATTGATATAAGCTAGAAACAACTAACAACTTCTGCTATAAGATTAAGACTATATTAACATAGGATACGTAAAAGTACACTAAAACTACTTATTAAATCAAAAGTTCAATACATCTTTCACAGTCAATGGGGTTTCATAATTTCTCATTTATCATGTACTTTCAATAAGAAATAGAATTTTTTAAAATATATAATTACAGATAAGAGATATAGATAAATATAGAAGTGTGTGTATATATATATATATATATATATATATATATATATATATATATATATATATATATATATATATATATAGAGAGAGAGAGAGAGAGAGAGAGATGATTCATACATTAATGGAGATTTTTATACACTGTATTTAAAAAAAAAGAATATCTCAGAGCTGAAGATATTGAGCAGAACTTTAAGTACCTTGCCATAATTCAGGATTTTAAAAGTAGAGGCAGGTGTTAATACTCTTTGATATGCTTCCAACAATGTTTATCCTAACTTGAATGACAGATGCTAAAATTGGGCAAAGTAGCACAATGTATTTAAATCAATTGGCTGTAATTTCTCCTTGGGGTTTTCAATACTATTTCTACAGACATGCCTGTTGTCATGACCAAACCGAGTACAAAACAAAATTCATATGAGCTCAGAAGAAGAGGTGGATGCCAACAGTAGTTACAGAAGAAAAGGAAAACAAATTGTCAATCATCATAAAAGTTAAAACCTGGCTAAAAACGTTGATACCATAGGGTAGATAGTACTGACTTTAAGAGACCATACATGCATTAGGTGATATTTCCACACACACACCCGTATATATATATATATATATATATATATATATATATATATATATATATGCACAAGCAAACATATATTACAGTTCAAAAGTTTTTCTTATTTAAAGTACAAAACAACTACTTTTGGGGCCAATTTAAAAAAATTACTTAGGTTTTCCTCAAAATTTTGAACTGTAGTGTATTATATACAGGGTGCGATGAGTAAATTGTTGCCATTTTATATTTTTAATTTTGTTCATGCATGCTGTTTTTTTATTTTTCTTTATTTTGTTGTCTCCACAGTATAGTAGGGTCAGTTGGGCACTGTCTGCAAGGAAAAGAGCACCATGGTGCAATTCACTCTGACAAAAATTTGGAAGCATTTGTGCCAGAAACTCCAATATAAACATTTCAAAATGTTTGAGTGTTTGGCTGTCAATCTGAGGACAGCGCAGAGGATTTGGAAGGAGTTGGAGAAGTCTAATGGTGATTACGAGCATATTTGGAGTGATCATTAGTGATGGAGACGTTATACCTCCATTCATCTTCACTTAGACTCAACACAGAGGCCTACATCAAGTGCCTTGGGAAGGTAGTGCTGGCTTGGGTCAAGAGGGTGGCTGCTGGAAGACCCTATGTCTGGCAACAGGACTCTGCACCATGTCACACAAGCAGGAAAACCCATTCATGGTTGTCAGATAATTTCTGCAACCACATCACTCCTTATATCTGGCCACCTAACTCTCCAGACTGTAACTCCCACTTGAGGTGTCTAATGATTCATTAGAAAATTCAACTAGCAAAACTGAAATGTTCAAAGGTATTTCTATTTGATTCTAATTTTTCTTAATCTTGTTGCATTATATCAATACTTTTTGTTGACCACAATCAAGGAAAGATGGAAAGAAAAAACATTACTGGAAGCTTCTATTTTTTTTTTTTTTGCTTGAATTTCTGGGATAAAAAGTAAATACTTTTCTTTTTATGGTAAAAAATTAATGGGTGGATCTAGAACATTTAGTCAAAATTGAAGTTGCAAATAAAGTCAGCCAAGTTATAAAATTTTCTCCCCCCACCCTGTAATTTTTCTAAGTCAATGAAGACAAGAAAAGATAAGTGTATATTAAATACCCCAGGATACATAGACAAGATCTTTTATTTTTAAAATGTTATATACATTAATAATCCAACCCAAATACAACTAAATTTGAAATTGTTAATTATTCTCTTATTTTCATCATGTTTTTTTTATAATTTCTTGAGACAGAATCCAACCAGTTGTTTTAAATTTTTAATAAATATAAATTAACAACTTACTTGAAATACTTTCTTCTCGATTCCTTTCACCTTGACATATTCCTTTGGCAAAAATTCCTTCAGCCTGACCAAAAGAAAAAAATGGAATTAACTGTTATAATCATGTTGGGGCTATATATATATATATATATATATATATATATATATATATACACACACACACATACATATATACACACATACATACACACACACACATCTTATACAATGAATACTGGTGGGAATAAAATGCTTGATGTAAAATAACAGAGCTAAAATAAAATGTATACTAATAATAAATATATGTGGCAACTGTCATGCACAAATTGAAAACTGACTCAATTGAGTCAATTTTCAATTTGTGCCTGTTGATTGCTATGGGCATGAAACTCAGTGATGCACCAAATGGCGAGGAACAAATGTATATTTATTAATGTTTACAATAAACAAGCTTAAATATATAACATAAAAAAATATAAATAACAAAAAAACAGAAGACAGGTAAATGAGTATATTAATTCTTAAGCTATTTACAAGCGTAGTTCAATAAATTATTTTCACTATATAATAGTCACCAATGAATTAAGTGCATTGACAAAAAAGTAGACTATGTTGAAAAATCTGTTGTGTAAAATAAATCCTCTTTTCATCATTAACCTATAAACCTATTGATCTACAGTATATGATTTTTAACTTGGTGTTTGTCATTAGCATGTGACTTGAACATCCACTGTAGAAATGTTCATTTAAATTCATTGAGGATAGATAACCATTCTGTTTCATGAAAGAACATCACCAACTGAGCGGTGGGACAACTTAGGACAAAGACAACTCAGTACCCAAAAACCAACTTTTTTTATAACTGAATAAAATTAATTTATTAAAGATTAAAACCTTAATTAGTGAATATTTTCCTTTAAATAAGGCACCCGAACATGCATTGTGTACAATATGAACAAGTTTCTTCTTTTTAATTATTTTTAATAAAGTAAATTGTAAAGAAATTTATTTTTTAATAAAGTAGATAGACATGTAAAAAAATAATTCAATAAAACACACCAGTTTTTAATTATTTTTTTAATAAAGTAAATCAAAAATTGCAAAACAAAATGAAGCAGTTTTTGTTTTTAATTATTTTTAATAACGTAAATTGTAATGTAGTTTATTTTGTAATAAAGTAAATCAAAATTCTCATTTATTTTTTACATGACAATTTACTTTATTAAAAAAAAAATTTTCTTTATGATTTACTTTATTAAAAATAATTAAAAACAAAAAACTGGTTCATATTTTACATAATGCCTTTACCTTATTTGAAAAGAATATTTACTAATTAAGGTTTTAATCCTTAACAAATTATTTTTTATTTGGTTATAAAAAAAAAAAAAAAAAGTTATGTTTTTCTGGTGCTGAGTTGTCACAGTCCAAAGTTGACCTGGTGCTCAGTTGGTGTTGAGTTGTCCTGCACCCTTATGTCTAGCTTATTGGTAATAATGAAAAATTCTAAAGACAAAAAAATATTGAAAAAAAAAAAAAAAATCCCACAATTAAAAACACACAAAAAAGAGTAAAAATGCTTTTGTCTATAGATAAGCTGTTATAATCATGAAGAGAACTGAACTATAAAGTAAAAAAAAAAAAAGTTCATACACACCCAGCATCTTCAACTGGGAATCCTCCCCACAATTATTTATTCATTCACTCATTTCTTTTTTCTACTTATTAAGGAAATTTTTTTAAACCATCATAAGGTAAGGTGCTAAATTCAAAAATTCAAATGGAATTATATCTCCAATTTAGCAAATGTGATTTAAAACTGACCAGGTATCAACATCTTAATAAAATTGATCAAATATCTGGCTCAATTCAGGTTTTTAATGCTACTTATGCACAAGTTAACACTGACAAAAGTTTTAAAAATCTATTCACAGGATGTGTGAGATCTTTATTTTTTTTTTTATTCTAAACAATGCTTATGCCTCAAAATAGCGAACCTTACAAAGCAAAACAGTAGCCAAATTTGTCAATCTAAATTTCCATCAGGAAACTTGAATTGTTGCCAGGTTGGCCCCTATGGTCTATGGAGCGATTGAAAAGGAATTGAATTTCAAATTGTGTTCCTGGCTCAACTGTCTTGATAAATAATAATAGTAATATTATTTAGAAAAGCAGAGTCAACTTTGCTTTCCTGAGTGGAATATCTAATTTGTTTGCTAGGAAACAAGGAAACTTTTCACTGGGAAAACTCAGAAACAATTGTGATAAAAAAAAAAAAAAAAATCAAATAAGAAAGAAATTACAAGGAAAATTTAATTTAACAGAAAGCTTGAAAGTTTTTCGGCTAAGCTGACAGACAATGCCAGCATTTTGTTCATTAAGAGATTTTAAGAAAAAACAAAAAAAAAAAAAAAACCCATAATTATTACATGCATGCTAATAACTTCATTATATTTAAGTTAAATGACATTAATTGAAAAAATTGGATGAAGTTCAAGAAGCAGCTTAATCTTCAGCATCCAATGCCAAATTCATTGGCTTCTTAACACTTATCTGTGAAACCTGATAAAATTTTAAATTAGGGAATTAACTAAAATGCTCCAGTGAGAAAAAGAATTTGAAGTTTGCAATGAATCATTTTACAATTATAGAATGTGAAAAAAAAAAAGTGTATATGAAGGGAGACTATTAACATTCAAAATGTTATATATGGAAAGAAAGACTCAAGTATTTATATAGTGATCTGAACAATTACAAAAAAGTTTATCTATACCACTCTGGAGTTGATGTACTCAATATAACATCAATCAGTTAAGTAACAAATTTTATTTGTATTAATGTGCGTGTGTGCGCATATATATCTATATATATATATATATATATACAAACACGCACACACAAGTTGCGATGGATAAATTGTCGCCGCTTTATAAATTTTAATTTTGTGTATGCAAGTGGTTTGTTTTTGTCGACTACACAGTATAGTATGGTCAGTTGGGCACTGTCTGCGAGAGAAAAAGAGCATCATGACACAATTCACTGCACCAGAAATTTGAAAACGGCATGCTGTACTGCTTGGCATTCATGCCAGAAGCTTCAATACAAACACTTTAGAGTGTTTGGGTGTCAATCTGAGGACAGTGCAGAGGATTCAGAAAGAGTTGGATGAATCTAATGGTGATTACGAAGGTACAGCAACTTGGAAAACTCACTCCGATTGTTCTGATAAGAAAAGAACTCCCAAATATGTTGGTGAGGGCTTCAAACTCAACATGGAGACTTACATCAAGTGTCTTGAGGAGGTGATAAAATCAGGACTAATCATAGGTTTTTATTTCAGATCACTTAGAATATACAACCCAAAACATCGAGATGAAAACATGAAATATGCTGAAAAACTGTTTAGATTTCTTCATTACTCACATCACTTCATCAACACTCCGAAACAAGCACACAATATGTAATATTTAACTCCAAGCAAGACAATAATGCCATGAAAATGTAAAGGATTGTACAAGAAAAACTATTAGCATAGAACTATAGCACAGTTACCTCTATCTATTTCAACAGTAAAACATTGAGATCTAGTTGCCAATCTAGTATTATGCTTAAATTCATATGGTTGAGGTACCAAGGAGGAGAGTTCATTCCAACAACTGCTATGAAAATATTTGTAAAAAAGTCAGAGGATAATCAAGTCACAGTGGTGAGAAAGTGACTGAAGACAAGATGCCAGGTCATGATTGATAAGATAAACAAATCTTTCTTTGGATTTTTGATGAAAAGTTCAAGATATATAGCAGGAGAATCAGACCAGATGTGGAAGCAATATTCAATGCATGGCCAAATGGTGTGTGTGTGTGTGTGTGTATATATTATACACTCATATACAATTTGAGATTATATTTTAGAAAAGAGTTAACTGTCTTAGATTCATTTTCTTTAATCTCATTCTGACAGTTATTTTTTTATGGCTTATCAACTATTTACAGGTTATTTAAAGCCAGAAAATATTTTTAGAATTTTTTGTTTTACTAATTAACCCATAGCTTGGGGGGAGAATAGGTGAATTCATACCTTTCCCAAGGGTATTTGCACATAAGTGAATATAACCAACCTGATTGGAAAGGGATGTTGGCTCTCTGATTTCTAATTCTGAGTCATTATCCATTATGTCACCTGCACATCCAAACTTCCAGCATCTAGCATTCTCAAGTGGTCACCTATTTAAGTACTGACCTGGTTCAATGTTAATTAACTTTGGTGATTGAACAAGAACTGGTATTTCAATATGATCAGCCTAATCTCATTCTGAAAACTGTGTACTTTAGTACACTTTTTTCAGAATGAGAATGAGATTTAAAAGTATGGTATACATACTAATAACTCCAGTGGTAGCAGTAAGACAAATTTAATTGCCTGTGTGAGCAAAAAAAGGAAACTTACTCTAAAAATCCTGGCTTGTGTTTGCTTTCCACATGTTTTCCAAACTGAATTTGACATTGCAATCCAGCAAATTGCATAGCTTCTGCTTGTGTCACTGGATGTGTCCCATCAATAATACCGTCCCGAGACTGAAAAAAAATAAAATAAAGAAAATGGCCCAACATAAGTGAAAGCAGAGATACATTTTATGAAGATAACTTGAACAACATTACCCAGAATAATACATGCATATTTAAGTGCATACATATCGTTGGTTCCAATGATACAGGGAATGATTGAAAAAATACTTTCCCCTCCCCAATTGATAGGTAAAACCACACAAATGCATGATATGTTTGTTAGGAGAGATAACAAAGATAAAATTTATTAAGAGCTACAAAGGACAGAAAATTGTGGAGAGCTATGATGGCTAACATCCTGAAGAAAATATTTTATTAAAGCATTCCAGTTTTCCATCATAGATTAATATTTGTAGTGAAGAGTAGGTGACTACAAATCTGCAGTCGTCATTTAAGTTCATCTGTAACATAATCTAATTACACTTTCAACTGGAAAAGGAATTAACAAAAAAAAAAAAAAATACATTTGATCATTATCTATAGAAGCTAAAAACAATAATTATGAGTTATAGGGAACATAATGAGGAAAGAGGGTGTTGGTTCCACTCTCCAATGGGAATAACTACAAAGTACTTCCCCTCTCCAATTTATAGGCAAAACCACACAAAATGCATGCTGGGATTTCTTCCTAGCCAATAAGATAGACCACTTCTCGGTTTCATCTGACTCAGTCCCGGTCTGTCTTGCTTTGAAGTTAGAACACTACATTCGTTTATCTGAATCTGCTCTTATGTGTCAAGACCAATTTTAGTTTATGAACTTTTTTTCATATTACTATTGCTTTGTCTTGCATATATTGTTTACTTATTCAATATCATTTTTTGCCCTGTTCTTTTCTTTTCCTTGTTATTGTTTATTATAAACTTTGTTAATTCAGTTTGCTGGGCAGTTCTGCCATTTACATTTAACCATGGCCACTCATTCTAAACACATTTTTAAAGCAACATTGTTGAAATGAGTTCTAGACTTGGGCAACAAATGAAATGAAGCAAGTCCTCTGAAATCAAGACAAATTACTCTATAATGCTTACAATTATCAATTTCTCTTGGCACCAAGGAGGAATTTACTATATCACCTGTAATAATTGCCACAAGAAACTTTTATTTTTTTTATTCAATTGAGCTAACTCAGACATTCATGACTATCACGCCAACAATCATGAGCCTGCATGAAAGTTGAAAGGTCATTAAGCTAGAATTCTCTGTCATAATATAGTTGGCCAATGTAATTGATTGCTGGGTGACCAGCCTGTTTTGTGCCATAGTTAGGTGTCCACAGCAGTAGTTCTCGTTTTGCTCACCAACTGTATCCTGCAAAGTGCATTCCGTATTCATGTAAGATTGTAGAAATATCAGAGATGGGTCCATAGTCCTGTAATTTTAAGTATAGCTCCCAGCATCCAAGTGTAGATTTCATCAAGCTTAGACTCATGGGTTTTAGTTGTAATTCATGCTTACTTGTGAGAGAATCAATTTCACTTTCTCATTGGTTCTTTGATGTTCGCTTGAGCAACAATAAATCTTTTCTCCTTTAGTCTTCTCTTGGGCTTTTATTATTTGTCCACCGTAAAAAATAAAAACCCTCACTCAAGGATCAAAAACAATCCCCCCCCCGTCAGCAACACCATTTTTATATTCTTTTGACAGTCAGAAATTTGCATGTTACCAACAAAACTTTTTATTTTCGAGAATGTAACATTCTTAAATTTTCGCCTCATGAGCAGTCATTTCTTTTTTTTTCTTTTTTCTCAGGACTTCTTTACATTCAATGTATGTGCAAAGTTTTTCTGTCGACAGTATTTTTTTTTCTTTATTTGCTTTTTCCTTCAATTCTCCAAATACATCAGTTATAAAAAAAGAAATTTATGCACTACTTTGCATGATAAAACTTGACATCCCAAAAGAAGTTATTATTGATATTTCTAAAAAGGATAAATATTATAACAATATATTGCTTATATAAGTATAGCCTGAAGATATAACTGCAAGTCACATACTATATGGATCACATAAATAAAAGCATATCCTGAAAGTTTTACCAAAATTTGTTGTAGTTAATTTTAATATCAATTTTTATTGTGAAACACTAATTTAGAGAGAAAGATAACAAGATTTTAAAAGCTTTCTTTTAAAGAATTGGGATAAGCCAAGATCAATTTTTGACTTAATGTTTTGATGAGCAGATTTGGTGTTAATCTAGAAACGATACGTTATATTGCTGATAAGGTTTACATTTTTATTTTAACAAAATCGAAACAAATACGCCAAGGTTATCGAACAAGGGAGATAACCAATTAACCAATAGATTATGGTTCTTAGATTGGCTTTGTTTTATTCTCTGTCATATACACCCGCCGTAAAAACATTATCTATTGATAAATTTTCTTATTTAATAAAAGTTCATTAATCAGAATTTTGTTTTTAATCGGGAACATTGACATTGTAATAAAATTAATATGAAAAAAACATTTGTAAAGTCGTCTTCCGGACATCTTCAGATATCAATTACAAATTTTCAGAAAGTTTTTTTACATTACTTTTAGAAACTTATTTATCCATTTTACTAAGTTTAATATATTTTTATATCGTTATTTTGATACATAAATACAACTTTTAAATAAAACACTCGTTTTAAATAATAGATTTTAAATTTTTATTTTCAAGAAAAAAAAAAAAAGACTTAGAAGTTAATGTAAGTAAGTTGTACAGGCAAAAATATATAAAGCAATAAAAAAAAATCAACTGGCCTATGTGTAATAATGTGGAGAGAGGGAGTAAAAAGGAAAAGGGGGTGTAAATATATAGTTGTAAATAGGGGAAGAAAGGAGCAAAATTAATAATAATAATAATGTTAAGATAAGTTGTGCAATTGGTTGTTTATTTATAGAGTCTGAATTAAACCAACTCGTCCAAAGTTTATTTTTTATTTAAATGCAAATGAATAAAAAGCAAAATTATCCACTTTACTTTTGGTAAATCTATTTTCAGAGAATTTGTGTGTTCAGGTGATCTTTCTGAAACAACTAAACATTTGAAGTTCCTAAATTTATTTCAGCTTGAAGGTTTATTTCAGGTCAGCATTTTTACATAAACTACTGCAAGAGATACAATGGCATTTTTCGTATTTAACAAATAATTACAAAAAGATAAGAACCCAAGAGAAATAAATAATAATAAAAATCATATAACATACTTCTTGGAAATCTAAATAAGTAAATCTAGTTATTGCATTAGAGGGTTAGGGTGAGATGGGTGCAGTCAACTCTCGCCTTAGCCTGAGACTATATAATAAACAATCAATGAATGTTGGCAAATAGCAGAGGCCTAAACTGTGAATAATTCAAAAGAAGTTGTGAATGCTCCAATACTGAAAAGGCAGGCACATACACACTCCTGGCTTTTGTTCCTGTCCTATAGTAAAAGCCCATGGCAACAGGCTTATTCAGCTTGCCCATTCTGTCTTGGTGAGGAGCCAAATTAAACATTGTACCTGTTCAAATGATATCTCCAAGCCATTTTTTTTAAAAATCAACTGACCCATGTGTAATAATGTAGAGGGAGGGAGTAAAAATGAGAAAGGGATGCAAATATGTAGTTGTAACTGGGGAAAGAAAGTAGTAAAAAGTAATAAGAAGGGTATGAAGAAAAAAAAAAAGAGAAACAAATCAAAAACAGAAGTAGTTAATACTTAAGAAAGGTTTCTATTAAAACAGAAGTAGTTAATACTTAAGAAAGGTTTCTATTAAAAAAAAAAAGTTAAACTTAAGAAAGGTTTCTATTAAAACAGAAGTAGTTAATACTTAAGAAAGGTTTCTAAAAAGTAGTTAATACTTAAGAAAGGTTTCTATTAAAACAGAAGTAGTTAATACTTAAGAAAGGTTTCTATTAAAACAGAAGTAGTTAATACTTAAGAAAGGTTTCTATTAAAACAGAAGTAGTTAATACTTAAGAAAGGTTTCTATTAAAACAGAAGTAGTTAATACTTAAGAAAGGTTTCTATTAAAACAGAAGTAGTTAATACTTAAGAAAGGGTTTCTATTAAAACAGAAGTAGTTAATACTTAAGAAAGGTTTCTATTAAAACAGAAGAAAGGTTTCTATTAAAACAGAAGTAGTTAATACTTAAGAAAGGTTTCTATTAAGAAAGTTTCTATTAAAACAGAAGTAGTTAATACTTAAGAAAGGTTTCTATTAAAACAGAAGTAGTTAATACTTAAGAAAGGTTTCTATTAAAACAGAAGTAGTTAATACTTAAGAAAGGTTTCTATTAAAACAGAAGTAGTTAATACTTAAGAAAGGTTTCTATTAAAACAGAAGTAGTTAAGAAAGGTTTCTATTAAAACAGAAGTAGTTAATACTTAAGAAAGGTTTCTATTAAAACAGAAGTAGTTAATACTTAAGAAAGGTTTCTATTAAAACAGAAGTAGTTAATACTTAAGAAAGGTTTCTATTAAAAACAGAAAAAAAAAAAGGTTTCTATTAAAAACAGAAGTAGTTAATACTTAAGAAAAGGTTTCTATTAAAACAGAAGAAGTTCTATTTAATACTTAAGAAAGGTTTTAGTAAAAACAGAAGTAGTTAAGAAAATAAAACACTTAAGAAAGGTTTCTATTAAAACAGAAGTAGTTAATACTTAAGAAAGGTTTCTATTAAAACAGAAAACTTAAGAAAGGTTTCTATTAAAACAGAAGTAGTTAATACTTAAGAAAGGTTTCTATTAAAAAAAAAAAGAGATTAAAAATTTAGGCAGAAATTTTAAAAACAGAATAGTTAATACTTAAGAAAGGTTTCTATTAAAAACAGAAGATTAACTTAAGAAAGGTTTTTACAGAAGCCAGGTTAAAATTAAGAAAGGTTTCTATTAAAACAAAAACTTAAAAAGGTTTCTATTAAAAAAAAAAAAAGGGAGATTGGAATTTTAGGCAGATTTTCATCAGAGAGTTTACTAACTTTACAAGCCAGGTAAAATTTGAGGCATTAAAAATCTAAACAGAATTCTAACCTGTACATAAAGCAATTGGAGCTGAACGGGGTCCCTGGCATCAACATTCTGATCAGAGAAGAAGAATTTCCTTCGAAGTAGCAAGATCTCATTCTGTTCAATACCTTGCTCTCGTAATGTCTTGGAATGATCAAGCCAGTTGACTGAAAGAGAAAAAAATGTAAAAATATAAAGTTGCTTAAGTCACTACTGTAAAAGCACTACAAATATTTTAATAATTAAAAAAAAAAAATAAATAAATAAATTTATATCAAAAGGATTTTAACTTGTATTTTAAAAAGGTACAACTACAACAAGGAATTGACTGATTTTTTTTTTTTTTTTTTAGGCTTAACAACTCTTTGTAGGTTAGTTAAAGCTGAAACATATTTTGGAGTGTAAGAATAATTCTTTTTCAATATTTTATTAACAATTTTTTGGAGAATAACAATGATTTTTCCAGATACAAGTTCTACTATTTAACTCATAACTGGTGGGAAGAAAATGGATTCATATTTTTCCCAAGGATATTTGCATGGAAGCAAATGTAACAAACCTGACTGGAATTTGAAATCAGCTACTTGATCTCTTATCCTGAACAACTATCCATTACTTCCACCCACACATCCTGACAACACAGAAGGTAACCCCAAAAGACTTTATGTATCAATGTAAAACTATGGGCAGGTAACAGCCTAACTTTTGACTCGTTTTGAAGTTTGCATTTCCAATCCCAATTTAGCTATTTCCTTATAAGGAAGATTTGATTAATTAGCCACACTTAACCACCATAAAATATTACCTATTTAGTCTTTGTTGTCATCAACATAATATAATATATTCCTGAAGTATTTCTTACAACCCCCCCCCATTACTGTTACAATTGTAAGTCATTTCATTTGGGGATGGAGGAAATTAAAGATATCCCCTTGGATTTTATTTTCAAGTCCGTGGAAATCAATAAATTTTTTACTACTACTACTATTATTACTACTACTACTACTACATCTGTATTTAAACAGATTCTGGAATTTCACACTATGCCTGATAGTTTATTTAAGAGGCCAAAGTAAAAGTAGTGGTGAAAAGTCATGATAGGCAAGAGTTATTTCCCTTAATTTGCGTTTGATTAAATGGTTTGCAGCTTAAAGGTTTTGAAAGATATTTCAGTTAAATATCTGATCTCAATCAATTAATTACAGAGAGCTAAGCTTCAAGTATATATATATATATATATATATATATATATATATATATATATATATATATATATATATATATATATATATATATATATATATATTTATTCAAAAAAGTTAATTGCAAATAATTTTAAGCATGAAAAAGCAATTATTTTTATTTGGGTGCTCCATGTCAACTGGAAGCTGTTACCTAAAATAATTCCATTAATCTAGAGATTTTGCAGTTGCAATAAATCTAACAGGTTTTAATCCTCATTTGTTGCTTGAAAATATGTACAAAAATGTTGCAAACTTTTTTTCACTCCATGCAAAAGGACAAAGCCATTAACACACAGAGTATTATTGAGTGTGAAAGAATATAAGTGAAACATTTTTAAGGACAGAGAACAATAAAAGAATAAAAATAAAGACATAAAATAAGAAATGACATTTCATTTAAATTTGTGAAGATCAAACTCGACTGGTTAAGCAAGAGGCCACAATAGAGTTCCACAAGAGAGAAATGCAAGAAAAGAAACTTAGCATAGAACTTTTCTTTTTTTTTTTTTATCAGAGGCAAAACAGATTTAGTATTTTTTCAATATGTAGAGCATAATTGTGTAATGAAGATGTGAGAAAATATTTTTATCTTAAAAAATAAATAGCAAGTGGAGGTGCAGGAGAGCTGATGAGAGCAAAGGTGTTTTACATTCCAATGTGTATTAACTGATGCTAACAAGAATTGCAGAATAATTGATTCATATTCAATGGCACTTTTGAAAAGTTGATAATGACAGCTCAGAGGAGGAAGTTGAGTCAGACAGAGAAAGTTGTTAATATTGGAAACTAATGGAAGGGACTTTTCCCCCCTTTTTTTTTTTAAAGAAAAAAAAAAAAAAAAAGGAAAAGAAAAAAGGCCACTCGAGGTAGATGGTTACAGAGTAAGAGACACTATCCCAAGCAAGGGGATAATACCACCAAGACACAATGGGCCACCAAAATTGGAAGAGAAGGAAAAAAAACTTTAGAAAGCATCAGAAATCCAATCCTAAACTGGAAAACAAGGGATAAACTTCTACTCCTGTTCAAAAGACTGGTGAGAAGTGTGAACATATCTTCTCCTGGTTGCTAATATCTTAAAAGAAAGCCTCTTGCCTTCCTATATATATATATATATATATATATACATACACTGAAAGGCAGGAACTTCATTCAAACCTGGTAAGGCTTGAATTAAAAAATTACTTGTGCTCTGTCTGAGTGTTAATTTTGATATTTGTCATCGTACAGATGAAATGCTGATATAACCATTATCAATGATGAAAGATGAATGGTTAAGAAAATATCAGCATATACAAGAACTTATGGAAGTAAGAAAGATAAAATGTTAATTTATGGACTGCATTTTCAGTCAACCACTTTTGGATAAGAATAAATAATTTATTAATGACTGAACATTTGTTGTAGACTATTGATGTCTACCCAATTCAAATTTACAGTAAGTTAATGGATGAGTAAAAGAATTTAAATAATGAAACCCTTAAAAAAAAAGTTACTTGAAATTCATCCACATTATGTTAATGCCAATTGTAAAAGCAAGAATCAATAATTTCCATGTTTAGTCCCATTGCTAGTCATAATGAAATTTTTGTCATAAGAAAATGTGGGACATTGGAAATATCACTTACATTGTCCAATTCTTCAAGTATCATTTGCTAAGGATTAACACCATATTCAGGAAGATATTTTTTCCTTTGTTCATAAAGGGGGAATAAAATTATGATAGATTTAAAGAGAAAATATTTTCTATTTTTACAAATAACATTGCAAGTATATATATATATATATATATATAAAAAAAAAAAAAAAAAAACGAAGATAAATGCCACCCTTTGTCATTGAAGAAAATTTTCAGAGAGTCATTTATATTGGAATGTTTATAGACTCTAATGAAAAAGAAAAGAAAAATTAAGTATAATAAAGAGAAAAAAAGAAAGTAAAGAAAAAGAAAAAAGCTAAAAGAATGAAAAAAGCAAAGAAAAAAGAATGAAGAAAGAACAAAAAGAATGAAAGAAAAATAAAAAAGAAAAATGGAAAAAGTTACTTACTGTCATCATCAGTGTGCAGTTTCCTTCGCATTTCTTCAAGTTTTTTCTGGTCCTTTGCAATGGATTTGTCCCTCTTTAAGGTCATCGTTTTTTCTTTTTCTTCTTCCGCCAACTCCCGCACCAAAGAATATTCTTCATGATTTGTAATTCCTGAAAGAAAACAGACAATTTCCACTGTGTAAATTGTTCATTTTGGTATTTTTAGGCATACAAACATGACTATCAAACAAAATTTCTGCCCTGTAAGAAGATAGTATGTATGGTGAGAGGAGGTTCGTAACAAAAATCATTACTTTCACCCACCAATAATAGAGAGAGAGAATATATTAAAGTAAATGAATATTTCAAATGTAAAATATTTTTGCAAATTTCAATTTATTGCCAAAGTGAAATTTACATAGTCTTTCTGAATCAATTTGAAAATGATACATTTCATTAAAATGTACAAATTCAAAGTTTCATCTATTTTATTTTTGGTTCCTTTAATAAATTTGTTATCCATCCATTTTTTTTTTTTTTTTAAGCAGCTGGAAAACTGTTGGGTATTAATTCTGTTATATTTTTAAAAAATAATCATCTTTTTAAAAGATTGAATATTTTCATTCCTGCTAAAAGTATTTAGTGATATTCATTTGGGCAATAATGACAAGAAATTCAAGCTGGAAAACTACAAATACAAGAAAGCATAAGTTATAAAAAGTAAAATAAACTACAACCTATTTTTTATTTTATATAACAATTATAGTTAAGAACACTAAATGTGATTTTCTAATTATTTACATTTAGATTATTATCCTCATTTTTGTCTGTATGGTAAATAATGATAACTCCTCATCCCAGAAATTCAGACAGTAATTTTCTAATTAACAGGTCATCACTTGAAAGAATCCAGTTGAATATCCTTGGTTAACAAAATATGTTTGCTATAAAATTAATCTTGACAAAAAGCAGTATTATTTGTAATCTGTAATCTTTTTTAGGGGCTGGATGTACATATAATAATATTAATAGTGATAAATTTAGAGACAATAAACACAAAAAAAAGTAAAAAAAAAAAATCAGAATGCAAGTCAAATTATAAGGAATAAAACCAGTTTAACAAGCATCACTTGTAATATGGCTAAGTAATATATTTACCAAAGCAGTAGTTACAGAGTCACTCTCTCTTTACTTTTGCAGCTTACTGGCTTCAGAGTGTGTGTGTGTGTGTGTGTGTGTGTGTGTGTGTATATATATATATATATATATATATATATATATGAAAAGGTACTTAAGGAGGAACTGCCAATTAGTATAGTCCTAACACTTGACACTCAGTGGAGTGGTCACTTGTTTATGACATTATCACTTTCATGTACCAAACAGTGGCATTAAGCCAGTCATATTTATTTTGTTTAAGCATATTTTTTATCATAAATATTAGTCTTATTGAATATGTCTGTAAAGAATTAAATAGGCTATGTTTTTATATTATAAAAACATCAGTATATAATAAAATGAGAACAATTGCTTCTCTAGTAAACTTCAAATTTAATGCATATTTCAATGTAATCTTTTTGCATGCACAAAAGCAACCATACTCCAAATAAAGTCAACTATCTTATTTAAAGTTTTTAAAAAAATAGCATTGAATGAGTGGAATTTCTTTTTGAAGGATGCAAAAAATGTTATAGCATGGAAATTATAATTATCATTAAAATAATTTCTTGTCAGTAATTTATGTAACAATTATATGCACACACAGACTATATATATATAAGATAAATGTGAATGTCAGTGTGTCACACTTTTTCAACTCTATTCCTAGAGGCATTAGCCCAACATGTCATACCATTTTGGAATCAGTCCAACTACATAAGCAAATTAAAAACATTTTGGGTCAGATCTGGACCAGCAATCCTGAAATTTTGGTTTCTCAAGTTTTCATTACTGTAATTGTTTTTGAATTCTGTGATCTTGGCTGATAAAAACAATTAAAGGGATACAACTCTCTAACTTTCAATACCTGATGTTCAAATGAAAAAAATGTACAGTATTTCAAAATAAAATTGTACGTGTTTTCTACTTTACTCCTAGAGGCCGTAGCCCAACATATACCATTTTGGAATTGGGCCAACTCTGTGAGCAAATTAAAAACATTCCGGGACAGATTTGGACACATAACCTGAAATTTGGGATTCCCAAATTTTCAATACTGTGATTGTTTTCAGCAATTTTTTTCACACAATTTTTTGCAACAAATTCTTTTTGTGTGATGGAACTGAGAATAATCAAAATTAGTTACAAAATCCAGCGAAAGTCTCCCATGAAATAAAAATAATTGTTTGTATGGAAAATATCAAATTGTATTTAAGTGGCATCAGAAGAAGTATCATTGAACTTTTAAAAGGTAAGCTTAAATATTAATGCAATACTTAAATTCAGCGATCAATTTTGAGTACTTCTGTAGTTTATTGTTGCCTACCGCATCTACTCTTCCCTACTTATTGTGATGAAGGCCTAACCAAGAGGTGTGTGTGTGTGTGTGTGTGTGTGTGTGTGTATTACTTAAACATTATTTCTAGTGGATACCCATATTTGAGTTGTTTATTAAATATTATAAATATTTATTTTCATCTACTGGCCTGAATATTCGAGAAATCTTATTAAAGAAAAATATGCGCTCTCTGGAAGGATTTGAATATGTGTTCCCCTGGGCAGGAGAAACTGTTGTTAGATCCAACATGTTTGGGGGGAGGGGGGGTTGGAGAGTGTGCTAGTGAAAAGCAAAATTTTAACAAAGTTGAAGATGGTGAGCAAACGTGTGTGTGTGTGTGTGTGTGTGTATATATATATATATATATATATATATATATATATATATATATACCAAACTGATGAATACTGCATAATTCTTCCTCTTCACTCCCTTTAGATTCAGTTTTCTGGCATTGAAATGTATTAATATTCTTAAATTCATATTTATAAAATTTTTAATTGAATAAAACTTATAGAGTAATGATCAAGATTATAAACATTTCAAACATTTTTTAGGAATATAAAAAAAAAAAAAAAAAAAAAATCAAAACAAAAATCTTTAAATGGAAGAGGAAACATTCCTAATCCCAGAGCATTTCCAAAATAAAGAAATTTTTATCTAATGATAATGAAATATCCTCTTGAAAATGAAATAATATAGACTTTTTTTCATGTGATTTTTTTTTTCTCCTTAAATCTTTGAGAATTTTGCTTTCCTGATTTAGAGATACACAAATGGGTGTGTGAGCAGATAGGGAAAGGAAAGTTTTATGAAATAGGTCAGTCAAGCCACTGAAAAGTTGAAGCATTCCATCATCCACATAATTACCAACCGTTTCTGAATCATGGACTTCCTGTGGACTCAACATGTGAAACACCGCCACCAAGACTAGCATTGCTTACTTTTGTTCATGTCTTTAACACTGCAACCATTATCACCAACACAGTTATTACTACTATTACCACCACCATTACTATTATTACCAGGACTTACTACTATTACTATCATCATTACTTGCACATCTGCTACTACTACCACCACCAACTACTACCACCACTCCTACTAATATTATTGCAGTCACTACCATTATTGGCAATTTATTTATTAACTGATATTTCTTCCTTGGGGGAATTGGTGATAGAAGATTTTTTTTTTTTTTTCCTTTTTGCCAGTTTGGGTGCCCAGATCATTTACTGTATATGCAGGACACATCTATAGTGACACAAAAGCTGTCAGAGTTGGTCCTTATGGTTTTTTTGTTTTATTACTCATACACATTAATAAAAAGGAGGAGGAGGAGAGAGAGAGAGAGAAAAGGGCAACCATCTCCCACCAACCAATACAGAACCAACCAGTACCACAATGAAATAATATTTCATCCCTGACTAAAAACTATGTTTAAGAAATTTCCATTTTTTTTGTCTTGCTTTTTTAATATACAAACAATGTTTTCCAAGTTGCTGTAGCATCAGATGCTCAAATATTAATAGGCAAAAAAAACAAAAACAAACTTCAATGCATACTTATAAAACTGTTAATACAGATCAAAGAAATTTAATACTAAAAATGTGAGGTGACTACTTGCAGATGTTGAATCAAAAAAACAAGAGAAGAATTCTAATTAAGAATTAGATATCTCCAGTTAATTAATAAATGTTTCACTTTTTAAAAATATATATTTGCTAGATTGCATATATTTTCATTTGTCCTTGTTTGAATTTACTCAGACAAATTATTAAGATCCTTGTCCATGGTTGGTTTAGATTAATTTTCCTATTTATTCTTTATTTCATAACATTTCACAGCCATGTATTTGCCAATCTGTTTTTGGTGTCTTATGTTCTTGAAAGTTTTGAATTTAAATCAAAACAAGACTTTTACAATGTTCCACGACACAACTGACGTGCAACGAACATCAGAGAGTACAAAACTTAAACCACAAACAAGAAAATTAGTTTCAACCAATCACATGAAATGGTTGTTGCACTTGTAATTTAAGAAAAAAATATTCATACAATGATAGCAAAGTGAACAATTAAAAAGCTTATTATTTGGAAGCTGTTAGACAATAATAAAAGAAATCCAGCTTAAATTACCAAGAAGAAAATGACATTGAGTGTCAGAAGAGCAAAGTTGATAACATTTTTTTCGTTTTTAACTTTCCATCATAGCATTCTATGTCTCAAAGTTAGTACCAGAGTTGTAAAATGGTCAGCTATTCCAGCAGGCTCAGAATATCAATTTTCATAAATGAGAGGGCCAAGGTTCAAAGAGCCTTTGCACTAACTTAAACACAAAATGCCAACACAAAATTCAGATAGTAGATATATCATTTTGTTATTTTTATACAGATGCAGAAAATATTTGCTTTAATGCTTGATGGATAGATTAATTCAAATGTGAAATTTGCTCACTGTTCTTGTTCAATATGAAAATACATAATTTATGGTGGTTTAATTCTGATTCAAAAGTTCTCATGGGGGACAATGCTCACATTACATAGAACTAAATAACTGAACAGTTAGTATTAAAATGCAATTCATCATAATAAAGAAAAAAAAAATTAAACAAGGAAAAAACTCAGTAGAATATTTACTTGCTTTATTCTGAATATTTGACAGTTTCAACATATTAATTAGATATAAGATTGAACTACTATGTTACTAATGAAAAAAAACTAGGCTAAAAACATTTTTTACTTTACTCAATTTGTCTCCAATATAGATAACAAAGCTTATAGTATTAAAAGACAAACTATTCTTATAGAAAACTGAAGGGTATATAAAATCTGAGTCCCTACTCCAGTAATTGGTTAGGTAAAATGATTTCAAATTTGAACTTTGTCAAAACTGCTATTTAACTATGTAAAAAGACTCCGAAACAACTCCCATTTATTTATAACTGTAATACCTTCTAAAAAGAAATACTGCAAAATTTTGCACTATAGATTATCTTTAAGTGTTTGATAAAAATAAACAAAGTTGATACTTTTGTTAAAAAATGAAAACCTAATTAAAAACCATCAATATTATCCATTTTTGTTTTGTTTAATGTTTTTATTCAGCCAAAATGTTTAGGAATCATTTCTCCTTTCCCTGCCAAATTTAAAAAAAAAAAAAAAAAAATTCAAGCCCATGATTAATATGAAACTTTACTCTTTTGCAGTTCTTTAAACAGAAAGTTTTATTTGCCTCCATTTCTCATATTATAATAATAATATTCAAGGGTTGGATTTCTGTCCAGTGAACAATAAGGCCACTTGTTTGAGGTACTTAGAGTTGAACACTAACGACCTCCACCATAACTCCTCATTAGTCTAACTTCAAGTGGAACTTCCTATCGTTCAGAACAAGGATCCTTTAACCTTTACAGTGAAAGGCAACAATCCTGACATGCCCTATAAAACCTAACTTGTCAGACTTGCATTAGTTAACAAAATTTGTTTATTGCTGAATATGCAAGCAGTATTAAATTGGAGCTTTAAACATCAGAGAGAGAGAGAGAGAGAGAAAAACCTGCTGCTGCTAACATTTCAAGCACAATGAGAGAGAGAATAAGACAGGGGGGGTCGCCAAGTTTCATTGCTCTTAGCAATGCTAGTGAGGCTCACTAATAGAAACTTATAAGAAAGTTCATGTGTTTAAAGGATTTTATTTGTTCATTTCTGCCAATTCTTAAAATCACTTTAACATCTAGCACTCTGCATCATTTATAAATATTACTTCCACTTTTATGAAATCCCATCAAAATATATTGTTTTATATATTAGTTGTATATATCTGAAATTGCCTGATGCTCAATTTCAGTCAAGATTTTTTTTTAGGTGTTTCCATAGGACTACACAACTGAGAAATTCAAATTAAAATTGCATTGGCAGGACTAACATCTTGCTTGGCAGAGATAGTCACCTACAGAACGCTAAAGATTAAAAGAACAAAACCATATAATCTTAGAGAACACCTCTCCCATTGTACAGTGTGGGGCAAATATACCTTCCATATAATGGTTTGACTGCTTTACCAGCATATAATGGTAAGACATTAGTAGTAGCAATAATGTCTTCATCTAGCTAATGTCTTACCATTATGCAGGAAATAATTTTGTCACCCAATATACTATAAAAGCATTTCAAGTTTCAAATGAAGTTGAAATATTAATAAAAGGATAATAAAAATTCAAATTTTCAGCAATCTAATCAGGTTTAGAATTCTCTTTGATTTCTGCCATTCGGAACTGTTAATACACAATTGGGGTAAGCAATATTACAAAACGTCATAATTGAATTTGCATCCATTTAAAAAAAATGTCAAGTGGTATACGCAAGTCATTTGTATTTAATCTGTCTTGTGATATTCTTTGGTGTTAGCTGCAATACAAAGTTGAAAGAAAGGCAGGGTTGGGATTTTCACACCATTCATTATCCAATAAAACAAGGTATTTACTCTTTAATGAACTACAGTCATTAAACGTTAATGAGCTGATATTAATGAATAATTAAGATAAAGAAACGCAGAAAAAAAAATTGCCACAAAACAAAAACTGAATGTATATAAAGTAGCAAAAGTAACTGAATATATTTTTTTTTTTTCTTTGTCTCTCCCTAGCCCGGCCCAATTGGAATTTAGAGTGAAGACATTTAAGGAATTCAGGCAATTTGTCTATTTGTTAATAATGGCAATGCTTTAAACAATGCAATGACAAGGGGTTATGGCCAAAAGTGTGTATGGAGTGGAGAAAGGACAGTTGGGTATTATGACAGTGAATGGGCCAAATTCCAGAGAGTGTTATTTGAATTCAGAAATAAGATTCTAAATATTTGATGAGAAGAAATGAAGTTTGTTTACAATCACAGAGAGAGAGATTGAGAGAGAAAAAAAAGATTATATATATATATATATATATTATATGAGAGAGAAAGAGTGCAAATGAAAAGAACCAAAGCTCATGTGTCACTCCCATGACACTGATACAAAGAATTCTGAAAATGATACAAGAATTACTTTAACAATTATAAAATGGAATCATACCTACAATACCCAATGGAGTAACATTTTGGTTTTTGTTGTTCATTTCAAACAAATGCTATTTTTCTTTTCAATACTTAATAGAAAGCAAATTTTAACTTCTGATTTTTATTGCACATTTTACAATTCAAACAAATGTTTTGAAAATAGTATTTTACAGGAAAGAAATTTGTAGTTTGGTTTAAATATCATAGTAGTAATTACAACAAATATCCCTCAATTTCTTTTTTTTAAATCATTTCACCCCAAGCAATACAATAAAGCCACTAAGACACAAGGGCTTACTGAGTGAGAGAGTTGACATTGATCTTCAAAAATTTAAATGCAAAGTTGACTGGGAAGCAAGAAAGCAGAAGAAAGTTCCACAAGTGAGAAGTGCAAGAAAAGAAACTGTTAGCATAGAAATTATATTTACATTTAGCCATTTCAATTGTATAATGAGACCCTGCCACTAATCTAGTAGTACACTTAAATTCATAAAGTTCAGGCCCTATAAAGGAAAGTTCATCAGAACAATTACCATGAAATATTTATAGAAAAGGGACAGAGATGCCATGTTACAGTGGGTGGGAAAGTGACTGAAGATGTCAGGCTCAGTAAAATATTAAACAAAAAAAAAAAAAAAAAAGATATCACAAAATAACCAGACAAAATATATTTTTGACAGGCAAAGAGCATTAGCTATAAAATGATAATTATCAAGTTCATTTGAAATTGTAATCCAGTTATTTACAAGACATTAAAATTAGACATATCAACATGTAATATAAGATGCAATATATTGTCTGAAATTGAGTCCAGAAGTGAGTTAAGCCTATAAAAGATAATTAAAAAAAAAAAAAAATAAAAATAAAAATAATAATGCAGCAACAGATTATTATATAATAAATTCAGAAGAAATGATCAGCTTAATGGTTGAACAAAAATACTCCACATTTGAACTTAACAGTTTAACCATCATTGCCTTGACGGTGAAAGTAAATTAATTATGGCAGATAAATTGCATAGACTCCCTCTGCTGTATTTCTTCAGATTTCTTTACAAACAAATGTTAGTTAAGAATGAATTACAAACTTTTAGCACTGACACTACCTACCACAGAAGCTATTGAAATTAAATTCTTTTTTTGAAAACTCAGAGCTACTAAAATAGTTTTAAAATCTTTATAGATAGAAAGAGGGAAAAAAAAGAAAGAAAAAAACAAATTGAATGCATCTATATAAAAATGGCTGATCATATTATTGTCTTGATAATTTTTGTTCTGTACATATTTTAAATATTAATTATTTGAAAGCTTGGAAACAGTTATCCTATGTATTGATGGCTTTAATGACTACATGCACCTAAAATTTAATAATTCCATTATATCACTGCTCTTTCAGTGATGGTAAAATCTGCTTTGACATGAAAGCAAGATGAATTTTAATTTGAAAATTAATTTGCTGGAAGCTAATTATAATTTATGTGATTGCTGAGGTCCACAAAATGTCATTGTATATTTTTAAAAAAAAGGGGGGGGGGTAACTTTTAACCAAAGTAATATAAAAATAAAAAGACTAACATAATACATGACTGATTGCTTTATATCTAAATTTGAATAAATTCAAGGTTTTATGATACTTTCATATTTATTTTTTTATAAAGTGAGTTGACATTGAGTTTATGGAATTTACACAAGATCCATACTTGCTGTAAATAAGAGAATCAACTGAAGACATAAAGTTAAAGATAACATATCATAAGAATAAACAGATTCTCTATAAATATTAGGCTACTTAAATATCAGAATCTACCATCTTGATCAAGTGATATTAAAAAGCAAGAAAAGATTCAATGTTTGAATCAAAGTACATTTACAGATTTAATTTTATGTATTTATATTGTCAAGAATGGAAAAAGCCAGCAGGTGAAGTAGGCAAATATTTATTAGCTCCAAGCCGAGCATAGCTTTGAAAAAGAAAAAAAAAAAAGAAAAGCTGCACACAAATGGATTTTGCTAATTCTGAAACTGCAAGCCTGAAACAAAGTTGATTAAAAGATACACTGAATAAAAGAGTGACTAAAACTCTTTAATAATATTTAGCTTGCTAGTTTAAAAAAAAAAAAAAGAAAAAAAAAAGTGTTTTTTTAAAATTAAAGAAAATGAAAAAACTTTTCACAGTAGATCATATGAGTTGGAGCCCAACCCTTGAAGAAATAGTGTGTGTGTGCACATTTTTGAACTCACAATATAACCTAGCTGAAATAAAATTATCTCATGTATATTCCAAGGTACCGCACAAAAATTACTATCCCTGCCATTCCCTGTTCTGCTATTCTTTTACACAAGCTTGTTAAATAGGTGATCATGTCTCTCTACAACTTCCAAGCCTTTGTAGGTGTAAGCAATGTTTGTCTTGTTAATATCCCTGCCATTCCCTGTTCTGCCATCCATTTATGCAAGCTTGTTAAAAAGATGATCATGGCTCTCCACAACTCCTTATCTTTTGTAGATGTAAGCTAAGTTTCCTTATTATCACTCCCAATTCTTGTTCTGCCATTCATTTACACCAGCTTGTTAGGTAGGTAACTTAATGTTTTCCTCTGCTCCTCTTACTTTCAATGCCATGTGAGTGTCAAATTCTCCAATCCCCCTTTCCTCATACAGATATTGGATTGATCCTATGGTAAATATACTACAAACACTAACAACTGCAAATTGTTCCTTTAATTAGATTCATTCCTAAATATGCTTGATAGCAAAAAAATATTAAACATTCATTTTATCAAAATGCTTAATGCTGCAATACATTTCCTTTGCTTAAGTCAAATATAGACAAAAGTTTTTTTCCCCCTCCTTGTCGATGTACGGGTTTTACAAACAAAGTACAAATACTAGTGATACTTTAATTAATAATCCTTTCACTTTTGTAATAAAAAAAAAACCCAAAGAGTACAAGATATTGTTCTCATTAACATGAGAGAGAGTGGAAACTGAAAACTCTTTCTGAAGCTACACATTAAGTTTATTTGAAATAAAGGGCATATCTGGACAGTCACAACTACCTCATGGCCATTTATATTAAATGATTGTTGGATAAATTTATAGGGAGTATTGTAGCCAATGAGTTATGAAATGTATAGAAACAACAAGTAACTGCTTAACTGAAATACACCCCACCTCACAAATAAAAGTGTACTATACACACACACACAAAAAGACAGGACAAGTAATAAAGAGGCTAGCATGGATTGGCAATGAATAAGTGGATTTCCAAGTGGTTAAAATAGCAAACAATTCCAAGATGGATTCATTAGTGCCATAATTGGATGAAATACATAAAAATGGATACCTGCAACCATCGGATTATATATATATATATATATATATATATATATATATATATATATATATATATATATATAATGTAATGTAGCAGAGAATTATTTCTACAAATGGTAGACATGTTTGAGGTTTGGTTGGGTCAGATATCTGCCAGATGATGAAAGGTGGATTTTGAATTATTGGCAAGATTGCTCTGGTAATGCTTAATCAAAATGGTAAATAGACAATGGAAC